GCCTGGGCCGCCGCCGCCCGCCTTGATCTCCGCCGCGGCCGCGTCGCCCGCGCAGCCATGGCCAAGTGGGGCCAGGGGGACCCGCGCTGGATCGTGGAGGAGCGCGAGGACGGGACCAACGTGAACAACTGGCACTGGTGCGGCGGCGGCTTCCGCCCTTCCGGCCGCCCGGCGGCGGATCCTCTGCAAGTTGGGCCGGGCCGCAGCCCTCGGCCCCAGCCCGGCGCTCCTGGGGTGTCCCGGAGCGGGAGGGGAGCGGGAGGCGCGGCGTCTCCGTGCAGAGGGCAGGCGTTGGGCCCGCCCTCCGTCCCTGGCGGGAGGGCCGCTCGCTGACCCTGCCTGCTCGGGCTGGAGCTCGCACCCGTGCGGCGTGTACCTCGTCAGGAGCAAGGGGTGCTGTTGGCCTCGCGCCCCAGGGCCTCGGAGGCGCGCTCTGTGCTGGGTGGGGGCCCTCCAGGCCGTCACGGGACTGAGGCAGCGCGCGAGGCGAGCCCCGGCACCCGCCTGTCGGGGTGGCCCCGAGAGGGGCTCCCGTGTCCTGGGTCTGCTTCCCCGGCCAGGGCGCTTCGGTGTCCCAGCCCGGTTTGTCTGCTTTTGTCCCCCAGGCAGGAACCGTAGTACGGACTTTGGGGAGATGCATGAGATAATGCAGGTGTGGGAACACTTGACAGTTGCCATTGTCGTGACTCGCATTGTTTTAATGATTGCCACCGTGAGTGCGGTCAGGGTTTGCCGGTCCCTTTCCGGCGGGGAGACTGCCCTGCTCGCCGGGCGCTCGCGTCTTCGGGAGCGGGGCGGGCGGGCGGCGCTGGGCTGAGGCTGCGGGAGCACCGCTGCAAGTGAGGCGGTGCGAGAGAACCCGGGCTGCCAGTGCCCACTGCGCCCTCTTGCTCTCTGGCAGGACAGAGCGGGATGCCACCAGCTGGTCCAAGGCGAAGCTCCGAGAGGCCTTGGTGGGCCTCGTCGTGGAGAGTGAGGCCGGGCGCTGCGAGACCACTGAACTGAAGCAGGTGGAAGGTGAGGCTTCTTGCAGCAGCCGCAAAGGGAAGCTGATTTTCTTCTATGAGTGGAACATCAAGCTGGGCTGGAAAGGTAAGTGCGGACGCGGGGCTGAGGGGTTCATTCGTCTCCTTCACTCAGTGAGTGTTTTTACAGCCCCCGCCTGGGCGTGGCACCGACTGGCCTCAGAGTTGGTCTTACTGGCTCCTGACGCTCAGGTGCACTTGGCATTGGTTCTGGGAGCTCCCGTTTCTCCCACCACTCAGCTGCTTGGCGCTCAGTGCTCTCAGCTGGGCCATTTGCCCCACCGTCTGGGGCTGTGGCCTCTGCATGGTTCTTTTTTTTTTTTTTTTGAGACACGGCCTTTCTATGCAGTTAAGGCTGACCTTGAGCTCGCAGTGATCCCCCTGCCTCAGCCTACTAAATGCTGAGATTACAGGCCTGCGCCAGCTTCCCCCTCCTGTTCTTACCCTGTGTGAAGCCCTCCCCTCCCTCCTGGAGCTAACTGCAGGCCTCTCATTGTGCCCCCCGACTCCTGCTTTTCACCCAGTGCACTGGTGCTCCATACAGTGTGTGGTTTTCTGAAGACTTCAGACTTCACTGTCCCTGTCCTCCTCCCTTACCTACTCACTCATCAAGCAAGGATTTTTTTTTTAAATAACAGCATTATTGAGCTATACATTATTCACCTCTTTAAAATGTATAACGCAGGGGTTTTTCATTACATTCAGAGTTCTACACCATCGCTGCGATCAGTTTTAGAACATTTCTTCAGATTTTGAGATGGGCACACTGCCTGCTGTGCTAAGAAGGCAGCTTAGAATGTTTCTGTCACCCTGCAAAGGGATGCTACCTTTAGCCGGCACTCGCCGTTTCCCGCTTCCCCAGACTCTCGGCAGCCGTTAAACTGCATTTTGTCATGTGGACTTGCCCAGGACATGCAGCATAGGTGGATTCCTACAGTACAGTGTGCACTATCTGGGGACTGGCTTCTTTCATTACATGTTGTTCAAGGTTTGTCCACGTTTACCATGTATCAGTATTTTGTTCATTTTTGCCGCTGACTGACAGCCTGTTATGTGGGCATGCCATGTTTTGTTTATCCATTCATCAGTTAATAGGCATTTCCGTTGTTTTTACTGGTGGGGTGTTTTGGCTGGGTTCTCCTGGGTCCTGGCTGGGAAGACAGTGTATGCCTGGTAGGCACTTGTTGAAATAACTAAGGACGCAGAGACACGGGGAAAGGACGAGAAGGAGAGATGAGGTTTTAGAAGATCGTGCAGCCTTAAGGACTGGGCCTCAGCCCTGGAGTCCATGCCTTTCTGGAGCATTTGGTAGAGAGCAGTCCGCTTAGCTGGCCCTGGCCTCTGCACTTGGGCTGCCTTGCTGGTAGGAGCCAGACGAGAGCCAGGCAGGTATTCAGCAGGTGTCAAGAGCTCTGTCACCCCTGCCTGGACAGGCTCCCCAGCTGGCGATGTGCTGTCAGTGGCTCCCCTTTCCCACTGCCGGCTGCACTGTAGCAAGAATCTGGCTCCCTGCTGTGTCCACCAGGACGGGGCTCTTTGGCCCTGAGAAACCTCTTGCTCTGTGTTTCTTGTCTCCCTTGGTTCAAAGCAAGAGTGAGGTCCTTTGCGAGATAAGACCCATCCTGCCCTTCTGGGGTTTTACATATTTGTTTTGAGACGGGTTCTCACTATGCAGTTCAGGCTGGCCTTGAGCTCACTTTGTAGCCTAGGCTGGCCTTGAACTCACAGTGATCCTCCTGCCTCAGCCTCCTAAGTGCTGGGATTACAGGCGTGCGCCACCATGCCTGGCCATCCTGCCCTTCTGGAATAAAGACATAGCTCCCCAGACCCAAAAGGGAATGGCAGCCCATGGCAGTAGCCTGCAGAGAATGCGCAGACATCTGGAGGGGCTCTCTGAAGAGGCCGTCATGGAACTGCTCCTGCCTGTTAGTATTCCTGTTGGTGTGAGTTGGATGAGAACTTGAAGCCTGTCACGCCCATCCAGTTCTGGAGAGTGGAGAGACCAGACTAAGCCGTAAAGCCATGGGAGCGGTGGGTGTCCGCGACAAGGCCAGGAAGGAGAGCAGCTGGGCACCGTCCTGGGTCACCTCCCCTCTGTCCCACTCTGCGTCTCATGCTTCCTGCGTACGCCGCACTTGTCACACCTGTAGGCGTCTCAGATTGTAGCTGCACTAGAGAACGGGTCCTCCCTTTTCATTTTAGCATTTTGTCTCCTCCACCTCCTCTGCGCAGAGAACCCAGACGGTAGTGGCGGGCTCCTTTTACCCGGAGAGCTGAGAGTTACTTACTTGGGGGCTCTCGCAAGTGCTTCGTTTACAGAGAGGAGAGGGCCGGAGTCATGCCAAAGCCTGACCGATAAGGAGAAGCCAGAACCCGTGTGCGTGCTGGGGGGCCTGCACTTCGCTGAGGTCGGGCCCCTGACAGCAGCTTGGGGTGATTCTAGTGGAAGATAAATGTAAGCTGTAAACCTGGCTTAAAAAATGGTTTCTTGTTTGATTCCAGAGAGCTAGCTCCAGAATATTGACATCAATCTTGAATTAAATCTGTGTGTTGCATTACCAACCCCACAAAGAGCAGCTGAAATTGCCCCACATGTGGTCATCGGAAAATCAGCCATGGCGGCTCCTTGACTGAGCGGGGGCGGGACGCTTCCTGCTGTGTATCTTAACCCTTCCCACAATGGTGTGACAGTGAGGTCCCCAGTGTGTTCTCTGCTAATTTCTGAACCATGTTCTCGTCGCTTGACCCATGAGCCCAGTACTCATTTTGAACTTCACTGTACTAAATCTTTTATTCCAGATTGGTGTAATAGATTGATGTAAAATTAAATCAAAACAAATCAAGACGCAGCCAGAAGGCCCTCTGTAAGGCCTGCCCGGCTCCTGTGCTGTTTCCTGGCAGTGAGTTCCCCAGGAGGCTGCACTGTAGTCTCGGAAGAAATCCAGGTGCTTGGAGTCGGTCTAAGTTCCCTGCGCCACAGACTCGTGCACGCTCGCTTTCTGTCCTCCAGCTCCCTCCCCCTCAGGGCGGCCTGCGTCTTGCCTTGACCCCGGGACAAGAAACACTTGAGCTCCTAACTGGCTCAGGTCTGCCAGCCCGACTTCCTGTGCCGCGCTGGCTAGTCCTGTCCCTGCCTTCGCTGCCTCCCTCAGAGGTGGCCACAGCCCTGTGACAGGTGGGACCCTGTGTGGGCCGTTCAGGCAGGACGGTTTTGCACAAATCCAGTTTATTATTTTTTTTAAACTGAAGAACCATTTCGTTCATTTTTAGGTACAATTAAAGAATCTGGCGCAAAGCACAAGGGATTGATTGAAATACCCAACCTTTCTGAAGAAAATGAAGTAGATGACACTGAGGTATCGCTTGGAGTTTTCTTTTTGCTTTATTAAGCTTCTGCTATAGGAGAGCATTCAGAAAACTGTTTCTGACTGCGATTCTCAGGCAGAGTCGTGCTGGTGTGGGGAGCTTATCTGCCAAGAAGGATCCCTTCACCGTGAGCAGCCGGGTAGGGGAAGCCCAGTGACCTCTTTATCTGCCAAGAAGGGTCCCTTCACCGTGGGCAGCCAGGTAGGGGAAGCCCAGTGCTGTAGGGGAAGGAAGGAGGGTCGGGCACGTGCTGTACCCTCCATAGCCGCCTCTGGGAAGCAGAGTTAACTCAGGGTGTCACCAGGTTAGGTGTGAGTGTATGTACTGGGCAGTGCTCGGGCCGCTTGCATGGCTTGCTGAATGTGATTTTTGTTTCTCTTTCCCTGTACTTCTGCCGTTTCCCTTTAAATAGTGACAATTCTCAGCTGTAGCCATGATCGCCCTGGGTTATGGCTCATGATTTTTTTCATAAACTACCAATATGCGTTGCTTTTGACTGTCTCTCCTGGAAGATGGAGCCGTGTAGCCCCCTTGCCTGGCTTGCAGTTAGTTAGAGGGCTCTTTTTGCTGAAAGCTTGACTCTGGGCCAAGACCATTTGTACGGCAGTTGTATTTTGCAAATCAAGATAGGCAAAGCGTTGTCTTTGATTTGTGAATGTGTTTAGCATGAAGGCATCCTGAGATACAAGAGTGAAATCCTACTGAACAGCATATCTCGTGACTGACTCGCTTTTTTGAAGGTTATCAAAAGCCATGCAGTCTCAGACATACCTTTCAGACCTGTGTTGCTGCACTCGGGGGCTGTAACTTCACTTTGCCATGTTTAGCTCATTGGCCGAACAGCTTTTCAACAGCAGTTAACGTGGTCTTTTAGATTTGATCCGTCAGTAGCATTACAGAGCCAACTGTAGATTCGAGTGGGGTCGGGGCCAGCCCAGCTCAGCTGAATCACTGGGACCGGAAGTGGCTCAAGGCAGTGCTTCTGTTTTGCTTGGAGCACTGTGATGCTGTCTCCCTCCCGTTCGTCCCCCTCACCCCGCTTTCCTCCCTTCCAAAAGGGTGTAGCCAAAGCCGGGTTATACTAGGAACTTGTTTTTCCTAATTACCCAGCTTTGGGGTTCTAGGCTAGTGCTGTAGAAGATGGTACAAGCCATATGTGCAATGTAAAAATTTTTAATAGCTATGTTAAAAAACAGGTAAACTAATTTCAACAGTTTTATTTAGTCCAATATGTGGACCTATCTTAATGTGTAACTAATATAAACATTTTCAACAAGGCATTTTACATTCTTGTTTTGTACTGAATCTTTGGAGTCTGCTGTGTATTATTTATCTCAGCTCTTGCCAGGCACATTTCAAGTGCTCAGAAAGCCCATGTGGCTAGTGGCTGCCACGCAGACAGCAGGTTTCTAGCCCTGGTCCACGTCAGCACTTCAGGTCCTCCACATCCATGGTTTTGATGCACGTGAAAGGGTTCACGTTCTGTGATGCGTTCCAGGCTTGGCCACCACCCGCATCAGTGCGCCCTGGATGGCCGGCCCTTCCGTTCTCTCCCGCTACGCGAGGGAGAAACCGGTCACACGTCAGAGCTGCTGCTTCCCTCCCTGTCAGTTCCTTCATCCCTGTGGCCAAGTGTGTAATACATTAAACCAGATTTTTCTTAGGTTTGTGTTTTTCTGATTTGTAGGTGAACGTGAGTAAAAAGAAAGGAGATGGGGAAATACTGAAGGATCTTATGAAAACTGCAGGCACCGCCAAGGTCAGGGAGGCCCTTGGAGATTACCTGAAGGCACTTAAGACGGGTAAAGAAGGCACCATCCCTTGTGAACCAGAGGTTCCCTTTCCTATTTGCCCAAGTTATGCTCTGGACTGTGATCTGGATTCCCAGGTTAGGCTCCAGAAACCCCCTCCGTACTGCAGCCTAAGTTGTAGCGTGGATGTTGGAAGCTAGTCCTGGGTAAGGCCGTACTTAGTGGTCATCGGGATCGGGCACAGCACAAACCATTTGCCTATAGCGTCATTAGCAGTTTTCTGGATTGGAAGTGACTTAGTCAGTGGCTTGTGTAATTCCTTGTTCAGTGTCTGTCTTCCCTGCTAGACTGTAAGCTCTGTGAGGGCATGGAAGGTGTCTGTCATGTTCACTGCTCTGCCTCCAGTATCTAGCACAACACCTGGCACAGAGTAGGCGCTTAATAAATCTTTGTTGGATGAATGGATGTATGAATGAAAATGACTGCAGGTATCACAGTTATAGCTAAGATACACCCAGATAATCCCTGCACAGCATGAAAGTGAGGTCACTTTCCCGCTAAATTAGAGAAGTTAGCTGGCAGGCAGAATGACGGGCAGAGCCTTCTCCTGCACCTTACACTTGGACCCTGCCCACTGAGTATCTAGGTGCGGACACCACGTATTTGGGGTCGTCACCCTGCCTCTTCCCTGAGGCTGTCGTGTGCTGGCCCACAGGCTTGAGGCCTAGAGAAAGCTCTTGAGGTGGGGGGGCAGTGAGAGAGTCTTAGTTTTGGTAGTGGGTGAGGGGCACAGAGCTGCTAGCAGTTAGTCATATAAAATGTAGCTATTTGGAAAAGAGCTTTTAAAAATTTTCTGGTTTTGAGAACTTGATAGAAATGAACCATTTGAAAAGGGAAAGAATAAAAGGCTTTTGTTTCTGTGGAGTTCATATAAAGGATCAGTTTTATAAGGAAAGATATGGAATGGTTTTGAAATTTTCAAAATGGTATAGGAATTATTTTGGTAAATATGAGTTCTTTTATTTCTTCATACTCTGTTTTGGGTTTTCTACTTTGCTTTTTGAAATAGGCCTTTCTAAAAACCTTTTCCCACATCTCTTTATAGAATTTACCATGGGAATGATTTTACCAACAAAAGCTTTGCAAAACCAGGAACTGACTGTTAAAAGGAAACTGAGTGAAAATACCTTGCAGGTACGACCTTTGGTGGCCAAAGTGTAGGGAGGGGAAAGGAAGTATAGTCTTTTAGGGCTTTCACACACCTGTGCATCCATCCCCTGTAAGGCTTTAAATCTGCACATGTTGTTGTAGAAATGATAAGACTTATTTGGGGGCTGGAGATCAAACCTAGGGCTTCATGCATGCTACACAAGTGCTCTACTACTGAGTTTTATAACACCTAAAAGTTTTTGTTCTTGGTGGAAAGGAATGTATCAACTGGCCTTTTTGTGGGGTAAATAATTTAATTCAAGACTGCTATAAACGAAGTGTTCTTTGGTAGCAAGATTACAAAACCAGGTAACCGAGGCTAACATACCACAATGGAAAACTTGCTCTCTTAACTTTGGGGTGGGGAGATTTTACATCCTGTTCTTGGAACTGGGGACCAGGAGCGTAGGTGTAATTAAAACCTATTAGCCTTAAGTGGCCTCATCTTTCATCCCACCCTGCTGGGCCTCACTTGCCTGTCCATGTAGAATTAGGGGAATCGAGTCTATAGAGCTAGGAACAGTGAGCGTTGTTTTCAAAGACAGCACTGGTGGAGCTAAGAAATACAAAAGGGTTTTCATGCTGTTTTCATGTGTCCAGAAAGGAAAGGGGTAAGGGGTAGGGTGGACTTCGGGGCACCCTGTTATTAAGAAGACTTAAATCCCAGCAGCACGCTCTCGTGGTGTGCTCACTGTCCTCTGGAACCTTTCGTCTTGTTGAGATTCAGGCCTCCTCTCCAGTGGCACTGGGTGTAAAGATTCCCACTGTGGCTCTGCACATGACCGAACTGTTTGATACAACGGTAGAGCAGCTGTACAGCATCTTCACTGTGAAGGACGTAAGTAACTCCCTAAGCTGGTACCCTACATGCAGAGAATGGCAGAAATGTACGACGAGAGGAGGGCTGGATTTTGTTTTTCTCTGATTAAAGCGTTCTGGGCTGGTGCTGTCAGTGGGAATGTACGAGGCTGGCTTCTGAATGACTCCAGGAAACATGGGCAGGCACTTTCGTGGACTGGATGTGTTAGTGGGCCACATCTTCTCCCTGTAGGAAGAGAAAGCTTTTGTATAAGCAAAAGCTACATGTTTAAGATAAAAGCAAAAAAACCACACTGTTGCCTTAAGTGCTTTACAGGGCCACAGATGTAACTTAGTGGTTTCCTAGCTTAGCACTTTCCTAGCATGCCCAAGGCTCCGAGTGTGACCCTCAGTACACATATATGCAGACCCCTGCACACATGGCAGGTAATAATAGCATGTGTTGAATAACATGTCTGCTGTTTTGCTTGGCTACAGCTGGTGCAAAAATTTTCAAAATCCTCTGCTGTCTTAGAAGCTGAAAAGGGAGGGAAATTTCAAATGTTTGATGGGACCATCACTGGTGAATACATAGAACTGGTAAGTGATCTCAGAATTAAAGTAGTGAGCTGGGAGCTGGGCTGGAAGGCGAAGGCATGAGGGTTTACAAATTCAAGCCCAGCCTGGCCAACTTAGTGGGACCCCTCATCTCAAGTTGTTTTGTTTCTGAGACAGGGTCTTTTAGGCTGACCTGGAAGTGTGTAGCCCAGGCTGGGCTTGAACTTGAGGCAGTCCTAACGCACCACCACGCCAAAGGGCTGCAGATGTAATGCCAGTGTGAAGGTCCTGGGTTCAATCTCCAGTACCTCAAAAAAAAGAAACCAAGCTGGCACTTAACTCCTCTTTTGGTTACTATCGCTCTCTTTGTCCATACTGTTTTTAGCTTGTTCTGGATTTTTATCTGAATTCACAGAATCTTGAAAACTACACAAAGCTGGTTATAGAGCAAAATTAAACATGTTATTTAGAATCCTTCCCAAGGAGCTCAGGCTGTAGATTAGACAACATGAGGAAAGCTCTCTCTACTAAGCTGAAAAAATTTATGGACATGACTCACTGAAAATAAACAGTGGCAGACATGTTTAAGGAGCATTGCAGGGAGCTGTTCCTTTGTGAATCTCATGATAGGTGAGCATGTGGAGATGGTGGCTAGTGGGCAACAGAACAGAACTTAGGTAGTGCTATATGAAGAAATGGTGTCATGGCAGACGCCGTGGAGTCTCAGCAGCGACTGTCCATGTACCCTCCAAAGTGCTAGTTTCACTGTGACTGAAAACTGGGTCGTGTATGTTTTCACATTACATTTTTTTGTTAAATGAACTTTATGTATACTAAATGGTGGATAAAGCCTTAAGTTTCTCAGTTGTGCAAATGCTTATGATGGAAACAGGTCTAAGTCCCAGCTCCTCCTACAAATTTCAGGTTTTGTGTATGTAAAACTGCTTGAGCTGCCGCTGAAATCATCACGGGGTTGCTAAATTGGAGTTGCCTCCCCCGACACTGGCCCTGTTGTGGCTGCCAGTACTTTCCTGCTGTGTCCTGATCCACTAGAAGACATCTTTGGCAGTAAAACAGCGGGTTATTAGTGGTACTGGCGTGTCCACTGAAGGTGGAACTCTGTTCACTGGTGCCTCTGGTCATTAGGGGTTTCCACTGAAAATGTTCAGCGGCATTTCCCCTTTTGATTTCAGTTAACAAATAGAAAGATCATCATGAAATGGAGATGTAGAAGCTGGCCGGAAGGTATGTTTAGTGCCCTTCATATGTAAATGTTAAGAAAACTGAAGCTGGTGCGGGTGATTTTCCTTTTCCTAACGCAGTAATAAGGCTCCTGTTTTTCTTCTAGAGCACTATGCAACAGTAGCACTGAGTTTTGTGCCTGCTCTAGGGCAGACGGAGTTACAATTGGACTGTAAAGGAGTTCCTATCTGTAAAGAAGAGAACATGAAATTCTGTTGGCAGAAGCAGCATTTTGAAGAAATAAAATGTTTACTGCAGCTGATCACCCTAAATGGTTGAAATAGCTTTTATAGGGGTACTACTTTTTGTAGCAGAAAGTGTCCTGTTTACCTCTTTATCAGTTGTTCCTTAAAAACAAAAACCCCCTTAATTTATTTTATATTGGATGAAATCCATGAACAGAATTTAAAAGCTTTGACTCCAACTAGACTCTGCATTGAGTTCAAAGTGGTAAGCAAATGAAATTAGGTATCAACTTCACTTTCCATAGATGTTCCTCTGGTAAGAGACTGAATCTGCGTGCAAATAGTTGAAGTTTCTCAAGCTTGTGATAGCAAGTTTACTTTCAGCTGTACTTTTAAGTTCCAAAAGACAAATAAATGGCATGTTATACTACTCCTTTATTTTACTTTAGTGTTTTTAAGGTGTGTAGCTGTTAGTCAAGCAGTGGCATGTTATGTTCAAAAGTACGTTAGTGTGTGGGTTGGCTGGCTGTACTGTGACTCCTCCGTGCCCTCCTTGGTTGACCCTGCAACCCATACGTACTTTGTGGTGGAGTGCTGAGGAATCTACGGGGTGAGTTGCTCTTTTGGACTGCCACTAAGTGTAATGAAAGACAGCAGAATGGATAGGTGCTTCCCCCATTCACAGTTTCCTCATTACTTTCATCTGAGAAGACCGAAGCAACGTATGTAAACAAATGAAAAGTCATCACAATCAGTTTAATTAAGTGCACAGAATAGCAATCAGTCATGTCAATAAAAATAAAACAATTATTTTTACATCAAGTGTGCTTTATTTCCTCCACAGGTATTCTGTTAAATAAAGCACCATTTATATACTGCCAGGCCACAGCTAAAGAGGATTCTTTACAGAATCAAATTTCTTGTGGTTGTTCCGTATACAAGTAAACTTAATTTTGATAATAAGAACCACAGCGATTGGAGGCAATCTGCCTCTATCATAAGGTACAAAACTGGCACAGAGGACACCATATTATACACGGTAAAAATGCTGTAAGTTTAAGTTACATTGTACAGGGCCCGGGGACCCTGCTTCTCCCAGACAGCCGTATTAAATGAAAGCCACTACAGTGAACTCTTTTTTAATTACATAAAACATATCCATTATCTGATTGCCCTTTAGAAAGTATACTGAAGATGCAAGTTTTTTCATCTGGAATTCTGCCTGACCAAGAATTAAACCTATAAATCTATCTTGCCATTCAAGCAGAGAGCACTGGACAAACTGAAGCACAAAAACAAATAAGCGAAACTTATACAAACAGCGTGGGTAGGGGGACTTAAAAGTAGACATGCTACATCTAATGTCAAGAAGCAGCTTGGTTTCCTTTGCCAGATATCCTTGTGATCACATGGATTGTAGACTCAATGGTCCTACACAGAGTATCTAATATGTCATGTTGCTGCATGTGACTAAAGAGTCCTCTAGAATGGCCACAACTGAGAGATAAAGCAGCCTCAGGGTCCTGGGAAGGCAAAGCTTGGCCATCACAGCTTCTCAAGTCAGCTAAGTCAGACAGAACTGCAGAGATAGAAGTAGAGGGGAACTCGGATTCTTCCTCGGCCAGGGTGGAATCCTTAGAACAGTGGAGATCTTTAAGTTCTTTGCAGTCTTCGAATCTTCCATTGTTAAGCTGCTCCTCTGTGTGCTGTGACCTGATATTTGACACATCTTCTGAAAACGAAGATGGAACTTCCATTCTGTATTCTTTCACAGAACTATTTTCAGGAGAAGGAAGATCTTGCTCAGTTCCTGGATCGATGATTGAGGAGTCTCTAGTTTCGTTGTCTGACGTGCTGGTCGGGGTCAGGACCTCTCTGGTTTCTGTTTTCGCGTCACTGATGCAGCTGTCTACAGTGTGCTCCTCGTCACTGCTGACACGCCGTCTTTTAACAGGAGTTGCCCCTTCATCATCTGTGAAGAGAAACATCAACATGCAGGGTTCTCTAAGAAAGGCGTCATTAAGATCACACTGAAAGGAAAAAGGAATCACATCGAGGGGTATGGGAATATATTTGCTGTTATATTATCCCCAGCCCCAACCCTGAAGATAAAGATTAGTTCATACAGCTAACCTTTAGTTTTTCTTTCTTTGGCTTCTTGCTCTTGGAGTGAGTTTCTCTGGTGTAGACAAGTCCTACATTTGCTTAAAAGTTCTTGCAGAGTTGGAATTAGAGCTGGGTTTAATTGTTTGGGAGTGTGAACCGACAGGAGCAAAGCAAGTGCCCTCAGATCCTGCAGAAACCCAGACAGGAACAGTTCAAATCCTAAAGCCAACATTTTGACATAACTGTTTGCAGTTAAATACAGGTGTTTATTTTCCCAGGAAATTATCTCGGTTTCTCTGGCATTTTTAGAAAAATGTTAAAACTAAATAGCCAGGGTTAGGATGCTACTGTATTTCATCGGTTGTAAGGCACTAATACCATTATTTTATGCCCACGTTAAGTAAACCATGGTATTTTTTTGAGACTGAAAAAGGCAAAAGCCAAAAACAACCAAAACAAAACTCAGGCAGACTTACGTTAGTAATTTTAAAATCAAACCTTAAGTAACGCATGAGAAATTTCGGTCTTATTTACACAGAAACCGTAATTTCTGAAGCGAACTTGTAGATGTCACAAATAGTAAGGCTTTCTTCACACAGCTCTGTGATCTGTTCTGGGGTATCAGCATCTCGTTACTCAGGAAAGTCGCTACTGAACATGTAACCCTGGCAACATACCCTTTGAACATAGCCCCCATAGAGCTGTCACTGGAAACACATACAAGGCAGCTAATTTCCTAGTTTTAACTGCCTTTATAAACCAACAGATGATTAAGTCTGATGATGTGGGTTATTTAGGATCCAGAGGCAATAACAGAATGTTTCAAAAAATATAAATGAGCAGAAAGAAAATAATTTATCTTAATGACATTATTGCCCCAACATACCCAATGCCACTAGCTCCTACCTTCTGAGGTCATACAAAATATGTGCCACGTAGGGGAACACACTTTTGGGAGTTTTTTCTGTTCATCACACGTGACAGATCTGGGCAGGAAGTTCATGGCAGGATAGTAAACTCATGAAGGCCAAAATGCAGAGCTAACTGAGGGAAAGCCTTCAAGTACATGCCTACTCTTGTGCACACAGTTCTTACCCCATTTAAGGAAGCACTTGCTTTGGAAATTTCAATGCGGTTGGTGAAATCAGACTGTAAGTTCTGATACTGATTTATCAAGTTTGTAATCAGGGTGCTGATCAAGTTGGCACAGTTTGCTTCAGAAAACACTTGACTTTGAACCTGAAAAAGATGATTTACAAAAACATCTCCCAAGGGCCAACATAATGAAAACATACATTAACTGGAAACAACACGTTTACATTTCACAAGGACTACATACCTTTAGGAGAAAATGAGTCATGAATGTGTAGACAATGTTGTTGTTCAGGAAAGTTCTTTCATCCATTAGGATACACTTAATATACTCTGCAAACACAGGATCTTCGCACAGAAGCTTGATGCAGCTTTTTGACATAGCAGACTGCAGTGGGGAGAAGGAGCACTGGCAGTTGAGCACTGCAGTGATGGCAGGACTGAAATTCCTAGCACTGGACATCTGAAGCCTTTTTTAAACATTTAAGTTCTGAAGTCATTTTAAATCCTAAAGCCACTTCCCACTTAAGTCTGCTCAACTTTTGGCAACAGCAACTGTACTCCTGCTACACTACATTACCACTGACTGGACGATGTAAGTGGGGCTGAAGGGAGACACTAAGTAGCAACACTGAACAAACAGGCTTTAAAAAACTGCAGCCTTATTATCTAGTATGGAGGGTTAACAAAGACCAGGAAAAAGGTGAATAGGATGAGAATATTTTCAGGGGGCCAATGAATATGTAATCTGTTTGGCAAATAACCCCCAGTAAAAATTAAAAAAAAATAGCAACCTCTTTTCCTAGCTACACAATCAGTGGGGCCCTGTTTTCCAATGGTCATGGGTCTTAAAGACAAGTAGTATGTCTCTAAACACATATACTCCCTAGGTTGGTATTTGTGCTTTAAACATGTATTACTAATTTATACGGAAATAACTGACAAATGGGGTGAATTTTGGATAGCATATACAAATGTGTCATGTAGGTATTCAATTAGAGCAACTGTTGTAAGAAATTGTTCAAGGTCACCTAAAAACTTAAGGGTACAACCAGGACCCAGGTCTTCAACTCCTTAGTGCTTGGGACATCTCTCTTGTCTATAAGAACAGTATTAAAAAAACAAAAAGAACAGCAGTAGCAGAGGGGGAAAGCAGACCCAATTTACTGATTGGACCACTTAGCTTTAAAAAAACAAACAAAAAAAACCAACCAGGTAAGTCATTTTCTTAATGCCAATTATGTGCCAAGTCATGTGAACTAAATGAGATCAGTGCTTTTCAAAGATCTCTAAAGAAGAAAAAGTAACATTTCTCCAAAGAACACAGATGAGTCTATATAAGGTATTTGTGAAAAGGAGAGACCCATCACAGTACCGTGTGACATTCAGCAAAATACATAGCACTCTGTACTGCTCAGTAATAGACTAGACCAGACTTGAGTATTTTAGAAACTAATGTGCAAAAAAGGCTCGCTCATGCCCACGGAAGGTTAACTCATAACAAACTCCTCTCTTCCTTTGGCACTGGGCAGATGCAGCCAGGCAGAAGCAAGTACTTTTTTCCCCTTCATGTTTTTTTTTTTTTAAAAATTTTTTTTTTTTTTTTTTTTGTTTTTTTCCGGTACCGGGAACCGAACTCACGACCTTGCGCTTGCCAGGCAGGCGCTTTTGCCGCTGAGCTAAATCCCCAGCCCCTCCCCTTCATGTTTTAAAAGATTTGATGGGGATCCTGTAGGCCAGATCTAAAGACTAAGCCAAAGGACGACAGGCTTCTTTCCTCTCTCGCGCTTCTCCCTCTACAACGTAACAAGCATTACTTGTATGTGCACTTTATTCTAAGGACCTTGCCCCGTAGGCACTGAGGTAGGAAGAGTAGTCACCTGTTCTCTTCAAGCTCCTGATAAAACACATGCATGGACCCCTGAAAAACTACAGACCAGAAGAGTTAAAAGACAACTGAGAGGGTTGGGAGAGGCACGAGGCAGAGTGGCTTTTCCCTAGGACCTTCCTGGTTTGAACTTTCCCCTAAACTTGTTGGTATTGACCTATGCACGAGAAATTCATCTATAAACAACTTATCTGAAATATCCTCTGTGATACAAATCCGAAGAAAAACGCCTCAAAGAGAAACTAGAAGCTCAATATTTAATTGCTAATATTCCCCTAAACTAAAATATATCCAATTTCTAGCCAGTTTTCAAAAAACTGATTCCTAAAATTTTTTACCACTTGG